TGCAACAAAAAAGGTGCATGTTCAGTTTTGCCTCGCGACAGCAAGTCGATGCCACGATGCTCAAAATTTTGTAGGACTGTCTTGCGACGACCCCCGATGACCCACGATTTGCCCAAATTTTCTGTCGTGTCGTGGCACAAATGCGTCGTGGGCTCGTTGTGACCGAGGCTTATCGAATACATAACCTTCAACGGGAGGTTGTTTGTACTTCGAAAATTCGTATGTCGAGCTGTTCGTATATCGGGGGTCCACTGTATTTTGAAATTATCCCTACAGATAATACAAAACATATAGACATGTGACTAAGGGAAAAGCCTGCTGCAAAAACCTATCAAGACAGAATGTCATCTTATAGACAAACCCACATAAAAGTTCCATTCGAGGTCAACAAACAACGATCATCTAACTAAAGACGAGGAGAGAAAGCTACTGCCACCTTCTTACAAATAAGGCGATACGACGGCGGCGAACGATACGACGGCTCGAATGGCGGCTGATAGATACTGCACGTACACCCACACGCAGCCGCAAACGAACCACGCGACCAAGAAGCAGCTGATAAGCCTGTCGATGAGACATGTGATGGGACTCTGCTTGACGTCGTCACCAAGGTTACCGGTACTATCGCTGTCCTGCGCACGATGACACAGACTCATGACTTTCTGCAGGAATATGAAGCATCCGCCGACGATGAAGTAGACTGGGATGAACCTGTCCTTCGGGCTGTCGTGTAGGTGGACGGACCCTATAACAATCATCATAATAGACAGGGCCAGCCAAATTCCAAGGCCTAATGTCCCTAATGGCAGTAGAACACTAACCAGACCTTTTTTTAGGAACTCCAGACAGCCATTAGACTCAGTCCTCGCCTGCTTGATTTCAATTATGGCAGTATCTGAAGGTGGTGGTTCATATGGTGGAGGCTGAGTTATAGCAGTATCTGAAGGAGGTGGTTCATATGGTGGAGGCTGAGTGTGTCCCTCACTACCAGCCGTAGATATGTCTATTGTGTAGATATAAGGTGGGGAGACTCCAGGAGGTCGAGTAGCACCATAGGTCTCTCGCATCGTAGGATTGTACATGCTGGTAATAAAGCCTTTCAATCTGACGCTTCCTAACTTGTAGTGTAGTCTAAGATTGTAACAATCATATATAAGCTGCTAACTTTGCATCCTGTTGAGCTAGATTAATAATAATAAAATGGCCGTGTCTGCTCGACCGGTTCCGGACGCGTGTGTAGCCTAATAAACCATTGCATCTGCATCCTGTTGCGCTCGATTAATACTAATAAAATATCCGTGGCTGCTCGACCGGTTTCGGACGTGTAGCCTCCAGGCTACTCGTCCGGACCACTGATCTCTACTATACTAACTTAGTATAATAATCACATGTACACAGATCTTACAGTAAGTTCGTGAAATGTAGTTGTCATGAGATGTTGTAGCTTCTTCAT